AATATATAATGGTTTACTGCTTTTGTCAGGGGTATTCTTGTGCTTGCATTCCTTTATCTTTCATGTTATGTTTTCCTAAGTCTTAAAGTCACCATAAAATTGCAGCTAGCTTCTCTTTATTGAGGCCTGACATAATATCTGAATTCTCTCTTTACTATAAATCCACATTTGATTTTTATGATTAGACACATCACATTGCTGAATTCTTTGCCTTGTACAACTAATTAGTAAAGTAATTTTTGAAATAAATTGTATCTTCTATTGTTTTATTTATATCAGTTATTAAACCAAATAGAACTCTGGCTTTAAATGTGGGTTGTCTTCATATACTAAACCGTCCTAGTCTCTCTAGTTTTTATTTTCTTTGCATTGTCCACATAGCCTTGTACTAAGACTTTACAAATACCTTTTAAATATCAATGTAGTTAAGCATGCATTTTTTAACTGCAAAATTATTTTCTATTACTAGGTTTATCAAGAGTTACAAGAAATTTGGTGGCCCACTTGAAAGGTAAACTAATTTGCTTATATTTGTATAGTAATTTGGTACCTCGTTTCCATTAAAATTAGAACAATACACCAAGAAACCATAGGTTGAAGAGAAAACAGTGTGCCTAATCTTTTGCCTTTACTATAACATGAATTTAAATTAATTTTTTTCCTTTCAGTATATATGGTATGTATGTAGACAGTCAGTTTGACAAATCTTTACATTTTACAAGACTGCTTGCTTTTTCTTTATACTTTACCTACTGTCCTGTTTAATCTGCATTAATGACAATCTTTCAGGTTTTTTGTTTGATAGAGTGGATAAAGCCATAGGCTTAATAATAGTTCCTTTTCTATTTAAAAGAATGTGTTGAAATGTAACTCAAAACTGCATAGTTAGGATCCTTTATATTTCCTGTTGTATAGTCCTTTATGTGAAACACCTTTTTTTTTATAGTTTCTGTATTCTTTTCTATAGCTGCTTTTAGCTGCATGGATTAAAATTGTATACAGCATAGCAAGTGTGTGTCAATGATAACTTATATGATCACTTCTCTAGTCTCAAAATCTGAAGGAGTCATTCATAATACTAAAGTTTTAGAGCTGTAAAAACATATTTGTTTTCTTCCAGGTTAGATGCTATAGCTAGAGATGCTGAGCTAGTTGATAAATCTGAGATGGACCTTAGACGTCTGGGAGAACTTGTACATAATGGATGCATTAAGGCTTTAAAGGACAATTCTTTTGGACAAGAAAGAGCAGGTAAAGTGTGTTTGGGGGTAGGGGAGAGGAACTTATTGTATCAAGAGATCTGAATAATTCTTGCACCAATTATAACAAAGCATTTGTATTAGGGGAAAACATTTTGCTCATGTTAGCATGCTAGGTGATTTAAAATAAAAAATTTTAGTAAGAAGACTTTTTGGGTTTGTTTTTCTTCCTCCTTTCCCTGTTTTTTCTATTTCACAGTAGAATGCAGTATGTTTTTGCTTTACCATGAAATTTGAAATTAATCTGCTACTATTAACTGGAAGACCTTGAGATTCTGGAGTTTAATTAAAGCATTTGGTTAAGAAAAAGTCATTTGCTATAGCATCAAACTTTCTTTTTTTCTTTATGTTTGCCTATAAGATGAACATAAAGGCTAATATTTTAATAATTTGGTCCTTTATTTTAAGGAGGTAGATTTGGGAAAGCTAAAGGCCCAACGTTCCGAATATCAGGAGTGCAGGTGAATGCAAAGCTGGTCATTTCTCATGAAGAAGAGTTGGCACCATTGCACAAATCCATTCCTGCAGATCCAGAAGAAAGGAAAAGGTATTTTTTTTTCTTCTTAAAGGAACACATAATGTAGAAAGTTATTCAAGGCTTTTATGTATATATTTAAGAAATCCAGACTCTAAGTACACTGGGACACCTGTGTTGCTCCATTACCTCTAAGAACTGGCAGCAGAAATCTGTTCCACATCCTTTCTTTATTCTTTTTTCCCTCTCCTTATAAGCCAGTATTTGCTTTGGCTTCTGAACTGTATTTATTGGGGACTGGGTTCAGTTGCTCTTAATTATTACAGACTAGAAATTAGGGTTGTTGAGGAGCTGCTTTGTGTCACCTCTGCCTGAGAGAAAGCAATATTTGTCAAAGTGGAGCAGATGGTAATTGTGGATAGTTGTTTAGCCCTGTGAACTTTTTAGCTTGCTATCTTGTGTATCAAAGTCCCCAGAGTATCTGTTTATTCAATTAGCAGTTACACTTGAGTAATATTTTAAGCTTATCTTCATGGTTAGCCAGTTCTGACTCAATCCATGGACACATTTATATGTTAATCTTGATCTGCTTTAAAACATGTTTTGGTACTGATTTCAATAAATATTTTATAGAAATTGTAAGGAAGCCTGATAATTATCTGGATTACTTACTAAATATACCAGAATCTTAGTGATGTGTGACATGTTCTCCTATCCCTTGCTAAGTTTGAGACGTTTGCCTATTTATATTTCTAATTTATTTCTACTAGATATGTCATCCCATGCCACACCAAAGCAGCTCATTTTGATATAGATTGGAGTAAGGAAGATGATTCCAATCTGTTAATAGGTATCTATGAATATGGCTATGGCAGCTGGGAAATGATAAAAATGGATCCTGATCTCAGTTTGACACAGAAGGTATGTCATCTACAAAATTTCATCAAGGACTTTTTTTGTTTAGGTAATAATGCTAATAAGAACAGTTACTGAAAGAGATTATTTTATCATAACTGAAATTGCACAGAAGTTAGGTCATTTGTACTCCTTTGTATCCTTTTGGTAAATTATTAGATTTTAAGATTGTGTGTATTCAGTTGAAGTGTACCTTCTTAGAGTCTGCTATGTTTCTGTATTTCTATGTATTTGTATATCTGTCACTTGAATTCTCTCTTCCATCTTTTGCTTCCCTAGTTTAAATACTCTAGTGTTAATTATAATTAATTACAGAACTTTGGAAGAAGGGACAGGCAGCTCAGGAAGAGTACAAGTATGTCGTTAGATCATGTAGAAAGAAAATGAGAAAGGTGAAAGCTCAACTAGAACTCAATCTGGCCACTACTGTAAAAGATAATAAAAAGTGTTTTTATAAATGCATTAACAACAAAAGGAGGGCCAAGGAAAATCTCCACCCTTTATTTGACACTGAGAGAGCATTGTCAGCAAGGATGAGGAAATGGCTGAAGTACTTAATAGCTTCTTTGCTTCAGTCTTTAACAGTAAGACTGGTTATCCTCAGGACAACTAGGCCCCTGAGCTGGTAGACAGGGTCTACCAGCCCCCCTGTAATCCAAGAGGAAGTAGTAACCTGTTGTGCCACTAGACACTCACAAGTCTATGAGGCAGGATGAGATTCATCTATGGGTGCTGAGGGAGCTGGCGGAAGAGCTCGCTAAGCTGCTCTGCATCATTTAACCAGTTAGAACATTTTGACTAGATGGTAAGTTTGAAAAATGAAGAGTGGAGAAGGAGATTTTAAATTCTTCTAAACAAAGATGGAGAATATGCAAGGATATTTCAGTCTGACCTTGGTGCTGAGGAAGGTTATGGAACAGATTATCTTGAGTGTGATCACATGGCACATATAGGACAACCAGGGGATGAGGATCAGCCAGCATGGGTTTAGGAAAGGCA